AGCCAGCACTGTCTCTGGACAGGCTTGTGGCCTTGCAGGCCATGAATCCTTTTGCTCGTGGATCTGACACTCTCTAGAGGTGGCTCTGGGAGGGGCCTGAGTCCCATCCTGCAGGGCTGGAGTGTCAGGGAGACTCGCCTCACTCCCAAGTTAGTGCTCCACTCACAGCACGAGAAATAACCGTCACCTCCCCAAGGGGAGGTTGGGGGCTCCTCCAGGTAGCAGGCTCGAGTAGACTCCAGCAAAGGGGGCCGGCAATGTGGACACACCCCAGAGAGGCACTTTCCAGGAGACTCAGTGCTGGACAGGACTGGCTAGGGAATTGTGAGGTCCACCTGTGCACTCAGGTTGACTCCTTTAAAAATGTTATTTAAGACTTGTACCCCATGGGCTTCCAAAAGGATTTTGGGACAAATAGACAGAAAATAACAGAATTTTGCAAGCCGAAGTGGCGGTTTAATTACATAAATTATTATACTCCCCATCAGTGGACGTTTTATCCTGAGCTTCCTGGCACCTGAAGCAAAAAGGGAGGCAGGAAGGATGTGTTAGCTATAGATTTATGCTTGTATGCTAAGTTTTTCAGGGAATCGTAGGAGAGAAAGGAGCTCTCAGTGGAAAGCCACGAAAGGTCTGGAATGAGTCCCCTTTCTCTGACCTCAAGAAAATCAGTTAACTTGCCTAAAGCAGGAATAATAATAGTGTCACCTGCTTCCCTGGGCAGTGGGCAGGCTTGGGAGCACAGTGCAACTTGTAAAGTGACTGCAGGACCATCAATATAAGCTACTGTATTACAGTAGGTTCCTGAGAGCAGGGATGTGGTCACACCTCCTGGTCAGGTCAGCCATTCGTCCTTGTGTTTCCAGGTCAGCCCAGGTCTGTGACTGTTGTCCTGATGTAACTATGAGGAGAACCTCCTTTCCCTCTCCAAGTGTTTTGGCTTGGAGGATAAATTTTATGGTTACTGTGTGTGTGCATGTGTGCACACACTCAACATGCACACACTCATGTATTTCTATTTCTGTTTTATTATTAATATATTAATAAAATGGAGCCCCTGGCCTCCAGGGGCACAAGTTATGAAAGAGGTACAAGACACTAAGTCCAGAGGGCGAGCAGGGATGTTGTCTGAAAGATGTCACTTTGAAAACACAGATTGATTCCACAGCTCACAAGGACCTTTGTCCTTTGTCTCAAAGGCTAGGAGTAAGGAGGAAAAGATGTGGGAAGCAAGCTTCGGGAAGCTCCTTGCACACCCCCTGCCGTGAGCACTTGGAGAGAGCTCTGCCACCTCCTGTGTGACTTTGGCAAGAAATGGAACCTCTCTGAGCCTGCAAACTCTCTTCTCACCTGCAAACTCAGGTTGTTGTGAGGATGAGAAATGGTTGGATAAATCACCAGGCATCACGCCTAAAGCAGACACAGCAGAAAAGGTAGGTGACACTATGACTCCTGTCACATGTGTATTAACCTTTCCACACTTTTTTTCTTCAGTAAAATCCATGACTCACCTTTTCTGGGACCAAATGACTTCCACTTTTTTCTGCGTGTGTTGGCGGGAGGGCGTTAATTATAAATTCATTTTCTTAACAGATATGTGTCTTTTCAGAATTTCTATTTCTTCTTGTGTCATTTTGGTAATTTGTATTCTTCAGGGGGTTTGTCCATTTTCTCTAGTTGTCAAATTTATTGCCATGAAAATTTTTTGTAATATTCTCCTTTTTCTCTTTTCATGTCTGTAGGATCTGTGGTGATGTCCTGTCTTTCATTTCTTATACTGGAAATTTGTGTCTCCTCTTTCTCATCAAGCTAGGAGTTAATTTTATTAATCTTTCAAAGAACTTTCTGGGTTTTTCATTTTTTCTGTTATTTGTTCAATTTCCATTTCATTGATTTCTGCTCCTTATTATATCCTTTGTGACATTTTGAACTTAATTTGGTCTTTTTTTTTTTTTTGAGATTTTCAAGGTGGAAGCTTAGCAGTTTTACTTAAAACCATTAGTCTTTTTTAACACAAGCATTTAAAGCTATAATATTTACTTTAAGCACTGCCTTGGCTATAGCACACAAAATTTGATATTTCCTGTTTTCATTATTATTTAGTTCAAAATATTATCTAATTTTCTTTGTGATTTGTTTTACTCATGAGTTATTTAAAAGCTTTTTGTTTAATTTCCAAACATGTGAGAGAATTTTACACATATCTTAGTGTAATTGATTTCCAACTGTAACTATAGAATATATCTTGTATGATTTTAATTCTTCCCTATTTATTGAGACATTTTACGGTAAATACTCCATGTGTATTTGAAAATATATGTGTGTATTCTACTCTTCTTCTGTGGAGCACCTTGTAAATGTTAATCAGGTCATGCTGTTTGATAGTGTTTACATCCGTGCTAATTTTTTGTCTATATATTCAATCAATGACTGAGAGAGGAGTATTAAAGTCTCTAACCATAATTGTGGATTTGTCTCCCTTTAGATCTGTTAGTTTTTGCCTCATATATTTTAAAATTTTTTTATTTATTTATTTTTAGAGAGGGAAAGGGAGGGAGAGAGAGAGAAACAGCACTGTGTGGTTACCTCTTGCACATCCCCCTACGGGGGACCCGGCCCACAACCCAGGCATGTGCCCTGATTGGGAATCGAAGCGGTGACCCTTTGGTTCACAGTCCAGCGCTCAGCCCACTGAGCCACACCTGCCAGGGCTTGCTTCTCGTATTTTGAAGCTCCTATTATGTGCATTCTCATTTATGACTGTTTTTGTCTTCCTGATGTATTGAAAATACCTGTATTTCACTTTTTTTTTTTTTTAACCAGAGGAAGGGATGGTGAAAGTGAGGGAGAGAAACATCGATGTGAGAGAAAAACATTGATTGGTCACCTCTTGCACATGCCTTGAATGAGGACTGAACCTGCAACCCAGGCATGTGCCCTGACTGGGAATCAAACAGGCAACGTTTTGCCTTGTGGGATGAGGCCCATCCAAGTGAACCACACTGTTCAGGGCTTACCTTCATTTTTGAAAGAAGTTTTTTGTAGTATATAGAATTTTAGGCTCACAATTTTGTTCTTAAAGATGTCATTCTACTGCATTCTGGCCTTTGAAATTTCTTTGAAAGAAGTCAGCTGTATTTCTTCTCTTTGTTCCTTTGTGATGTGTCTGTTTTTCTCTGGCAGTTTTTAAAGTGGTCTCTTTATTTTTGGTTTTAAGATGTTCTTCAGTATTTTTTAAAAAATATTTATGCTGCTTAGGTTCAATTGATTTGTGGATTGATATTTTCCATCAATTTGGAAAGTTATCTTTTGTTATTTCTTCAAATATTTTTTTCTGCCCACTCTCTTCTCTTCTCCTTCTGGGATTTAAATTATATATACACGCAGACTGCTTGATATGGCCCCACAAGTCTCTGAGGGTCTTTGTTCATTTTTTAAAGGGCTCTTTTTTTCTCTGTGCTTAAATTTGATTATGTTTTATAAATCTCTTCAAGTTCACAAATTATTTCTTCTGTAATTTAATCTGCTGTTAGACTTACCCAGTGAAATTTTCATTTCCAATTTTGTATTTTTCAGTTCTACATTTTCCATTCAATTCTCCCCCTTCATAGTTTCTATTCTGTTGAGAGTTTCCATCTCTTCATTCATATTTTTATTTTGTTTTAAATCTTTCTTTTGTAATTTCAACATCTGTGTCACCTGTGGGCCTGCTTCTATTGACCAGAGTTTCTTTTTTATTTTCTAGTTAAATTTTCCTGCTTGTTGGAATATTTAGCAATTTTTGGTATGCTAGACATTGTCAACCCTATATTATTGAGAGTCTGATTGTGTTGTGTTCTTTAAAGAGTGTAAAGTTTTGTTCTGGTAGAGAATTTACTGGAAGCTCAGCTCGATCTCTCAGAGCTTGGTTTGGGGCTTTGTTAGGGCAGAATCTCTAGCAAATCCTTACCCTAGGGCTAGAACAGTCCTACTTCTGAGTTCTGAGATGTTCAGTGTGGTCTGTCTGCTGTTGGACTGCACAGTGCCTCCCAGCACTGCATCAACTTCAGACACTCCAGTCAACTCGCAGCCCATAGTGGTTCTCTGCCAGGTCTTGCTGAGTCCTGCCTTGCATATGTACAGCTTATGATGCAAAAACTCAGGGAACACCTGAGCAGATTCCTGGGTCTCCTTTGCACAGCTTCTACTCCCTGTACTCTGCAAATTGCAGACGCCTTAGAACCCTAACTTCCACCTGCGTTTCCTCTACTGTTGAGACCGCTGCACTATATTGGAGCTCTGCGTCCTTGTGCTGTTTTGGGAAGGGCTTCCAGGCAGAAAGCTGGGGTGAATGTGGAGCTGACTGTTGTGCAATATCCGAAAACATTTGTAGCACATATTTTGTCCAGATCAATAGTTATTTATACCACAAGGGTAGGTCTGATGCTAACTGTTGTGTTTTATTTTTATCATGACCAGAAGCAGAAACCCACTATTTACTTTTGCAACTTATTGCCTTCTACTTGTAAAGTCCTTTCTGAAAACACCCCAGTTCCAGCAAAGCCCCTCTCATTCCTCTCGACCCCATTCGGATGCTCTGTCATCAGTTACTTTCCCCCCGATCCCTTTGGGGTGGAACAGTCCCCACATGAACCTTACTGCATTCTCTCAGGTGTCTGAGTTGGCTGTTTGTGCATCTCCTTCTGGACGGTGAGCACATCGGAAGTGAGAGTCTCTCCACAGTGCTCTGCAAAACCCCTTCACAGTGTCTGGCACATTGGAGCTTCAATAAATGTGGGTTTATTAATTACTGCTAAAGCAGAGGAAGCTGCCCTTCCTCTTCCGCCGACCACTCAGCAGACATTGAAAAGGGTGAGGCTGAGAGTCCTTGGCTACAAGAGACCCAACCCCTTCATTTTTTATATGTGGTAATAGACCCAGGGAAGTTTGGTGATGTATGTCAATTATGTCATTCAGTTATTCATTATTTAACAAAAGATTATTGAATATCAACTGTGTATGAGGCTCTAGCGCTAGAGATAAAATACTTTGCCCTCAAAAATCTCTGAGACTAAGGTGAGATGGGAGAAGTAGAGGAACGAATAAGTGATTTCCATCCTGACTGGGTCTCTCAATTAGTTGGAGTGTTGTCCCATCCACCTAAAAAGGAAAAGAAGAGAAAAGAAAGGAAAAAATGTTGCCAGTATCAGGTTCAGACCCCGGTTGGGGCGTGTACAAGAGGCAACTAATCGATGTGTCCGTCGCATCAATGTTCCTTTCACTCTCCCTCTCTCTCCTTTCCTCTGTCTTTAAAATCAATGAACATAGCCTCAAGTGAAGATTTCAAAAAGGTGATGTCTACCCAGGGACTATACAAGGTCCATGGAGGTCCACGGAGGGGTCTCATCCAGCCTGGTAAGGGCATGGAAGTTCTTCTAGAAGAAGGGAGGCTGGATCTTGGGTGTAAAATCACCCAGGGAGAGGAGCAGGAAGAGCATGGGTGGGCCAGGGGGAGGCCCTGAGAGGACAATGTCTGGGGTGCGCATGTGGGCTTGCCAAGGTTTGGGGCGAGGGACTCATGCCAGAATTAGGAGAATGGACTTAATCCAATGACAGCGAGGAAGCATGCAAAGCTTTCATCCAGGGTAGCATGGTCAAATGTATGCATCACTCCAACCTCTGTGGCTGGGGGAAAAAGGAGGTAGTAGGCAGGAGGAGCGCTGGAGCCCTTACAGCAAGGAGTCATGGGGGTGGCGAGGCCGAGGTGGGCTCAGGGGAAGCAAGAGATAGACAGGGAGGACGGTCTACTCACAGAATGCCAACCTGCTGCCCTCAAGCTGAGGCCAGGCCCAAGGGCACAGAAAAAAAGCAGAGCTTCATAACTTTTCATTCAACATATGTTGGGGAGTACCTACTGTGTGCAGGTACTCCGTGTGAACAGACAGATGTTTTACTCTTACTGGAGACCTGAAGAGACTGAGGCTAACAGACAGGCGATGTCTTGCCCACGTCCTCACAGTCCAGCAGACTGAGCTGGGGCAAAATGCAGCCTCCTGGCTCTAGTGGGGCGCTCTGCTGTGCACTGCCTCTCTTTGGGTGTCCATCCCCACACTGCAGGGCTCAGCAGAGATGAATATGCAGCCAGAACTCCACACATATGCTCACATAGACACACACATGCTCACTGGCACAAACGCACACACACAAATATACATGTATATACTGTCGCACATGCATGTGCACATGTATACACCTTATGTGTGCAGTCTTGCACATGCATGTTTACACCTCATGCACATGCATGCACACACATATACACACAGGTGCCCGCACATACATGGACAACCAAATGTTCACTGGTCACATATGTGTGCATACAAGCACACACTGTCACATGTGTGCATGCATTCATGCACACACTCTCATGCCTGCACACATATACATGTATACTCATGTGCATACTTATGTATGCACACACATACTTGCACACACTCTCCTGTGTCTTTGTGCACACTCGCAGTGCATGCACATTCTCATACACGTGTTCTCATTCCAACACACAAATGTGCACACATTTCCACACACTCATACATAGAAATGCACATACGGGCACACACATGTTTGCAGTGACACATGTGTGCACACATTCTCACAATGTGAGCTCACAATCCCACCCTCACATGCATGTGCACACTGCATACAGGTTTGTGTGCACACACTCATCCATGAACGCACATGTGTACACACACTCACTATGAGTTCAAGTGAAAAGGAATCATGTGGGGAGCTGCCGTGACCCCCTGAGTCTCAAGAGAACACTCTTGAGCAGGCGGTGGAGGCTGGGTCGGCTGTGGGCACAGGGTGGGAGGAAAGGGTGGTGGGTGGGTGGTGGTGCACATGGGGAAACACCTGCCAGGTGTGGGTGCCCCCATACATATGCCAGACCAGCTCTCCTCAGGGACCTGACAGAATGTCTCACAGTGAAGTTCCCAGGTCACCCCAAGACAGCAGCAACAAGGCCAAGTGCACCCTGCCTGGCGGTGGCCAACCCCCTTAGGAAAGAGGGTGAAAAGAGGTGGGTCCCCACAACCTTGTCTGGCCCTGTGCTTGTGATAATGAAAAACAACTTGGTTTTGACTATGCTTGTCAATGAGGGAGGGACAGGCTGAGCCCCATGTTCCCTGCAGCATGTCCCTTGCCCCAGGGTGGCTGTGCTCTTGGGCTGCTGGTGCGCCTGCAGACAAGCACCCCTCCCAAAGCCTGGCCTGCCCCTCCCACACCCCACTCCCTATTCCACCTGCAGTATCTTCTCTCCCTTTTCTTCTCTTTCTCCCTCCACTTTTGTCCTTTCCTCTTTTCCTCTCTTCAGACCCACCCTCTCCTCCTGCAGCAACAAAGAAATCGACTGTCAGCCACCCCTCCATCCCCACCCCACGGCTCTCTCCCAGAGACACTGATGTGCAGACCTGTTTATTAACTTGCCAATCTTCCTCCCCTTCCCTCCCCTCCCGTTCCCTTTTCTCCTCTCCCTCCCCCACCTTCCCCTCTCCTCATTTTCTTCTCTCCCTTATTCTTTCTTTTTCTCCCCTTTATTCCTCTTTTTCTCTCACACATTCTTTGTTTTCCTCATTCTTTCTTTCTCTCCATCCTCTTCGCCCCCCACCGCTCCCCTCCCTCTCCCTCCTCTTAAAAGGCAAGAGAAATAGAAGTCAAGATCTTCTCTTGGCGATAATTATTGAAAAGTTCAGTGCAGAGACAGACAGCAATGCTGTGAGGAGTAGAGGAGGGGGAAAGAATATTAAAATGCATGTGCACAGCTTGGCTTTGCAGCAGATGTTGGCATAATTAGAGAGGAAAAAATTATGAAATTAATTTGTGGTTCAATGTAAATTTCAGCAATGGGGGAAAGCTGGGCTCAGTCACCTCATGTGCACAGATAGACACGCACACGCGCACACGCACACACACACACAGCACACACAGCACACCCCAGCTGCCAGGGAAGTGGTAATTGTCAGAACCTATCCAGGGGGAAAGACTGGCATGAAAAACAGGGAGGAAGGAGGCGGTTGGGGGGGCGGGGGATTCCTCCTCTTAAAGGCACAGGTGCCAGGATGAGCAGGAGGAAAAATGCCCCTCCCCCAAGGAGAGAGCAGGAGCTTGGAGGTACTGTCCAGTTGGTCAGGGTTGGAGCTCAAACCCTCTGCTATCACCACGGCCCGGGGAGGACAGTGCCGCCTTCAGCTCGGGAGAGAGGCACACACAGCTGGGCGCTGCCTCTTGCCCGGCGGGGGTCCCTGCGCCACTACTGTGGCGGCTGTCCTCTGACTACAGGGGCACCGTCACTCAGGACCAGCAGCGTGGTGTGCTGTTGCTTCATGGCAGATCAGAAAAGAGAGAAACACTCTCTGGGGGAGGGGACAGCAGTTGCGCTGGCTCTGGGGCTTCAGTCAGGCAGTCGAGGAAGGGCAGAGGCACCCAGGTGCAAAGACACTGAGCCCAGGCAGGGAGACCAGATCACGCAAGTCTGGGGACAGCGTGCTGTCACTCTGCTTGGCTCGTCGTGGGGTACACTGAGGGGCGGGTGCCCAGCCAGGGCCGTGTTCTGGCTCAGGAGGCACCGTCGGGCCAGGGCGCCCCTGAGCGGGGGAAGGGCGCGACCACGCCTGAGTGGCTCCTCTCACTGAGCCTCCGGGCTCAGGCTGCCTCCTTCTCTCTTTTACTCTCTGTCCTCGCTGCGCTCTCACTTGCCACCCACCCCCCGTCCCCTCGAAAGGAGGCTGTGGCAGGCAGATGGGGCAGAGTCTCCATCTCCTGCAGCCAGTATAGGCCGGGACACCCCTGTCAGGTTGTCCTCTACCAGGCAGGGCTGGCTGAGACCCTCTGGGCCTCAGTTTACCTATATGCTCAATGAGTGCTAGGCAGGCTTTCCCTCCGCACCCTGAGAGCCCTAGACTACGTCAGAGGAGGGAGCTGTGGTCCTGGGGGCCTCTGCCCTTCGCCCTGACTGTCGTCATGGCCTCCCCCAGCCTGCAAATAATAAATTATTTGTAAATGCAGTTACCTGCCGCCTTATCCATGCAATCCCCATTCCTTGCTGAGGAATCACCTCACAGCCCACCTTGGACTTCCGGGGCCCTGCTACCCACTTTTTGTGGCTTCTATGCCCCTAAGCCTTCCTATCACCTCCCTCGTTTTGGTCATTCCCAGCACGTCCCTTTGAGATTCTCTGGTGCGTGTCCCTGAGGCCGGACATTGCACCTCCTGCCTATCATGCGCCGTCCCCGCCCGTGTGCCCCTCTCCCTGCTGCACTCTTGGTCAGCACCTCTCCCTCATCCTAACTCACCTGGACGCAAACCCTCCATCGGCCTGGGTCCTTCAGCCCTTGTGTTTCCCAGGCGTGTCCTCATCCTCATCCAGGAAGCCCTCCATGATCACCCTCCGAAGAACAGTCGCTCATCCCACGTTGTCAGTGATATCTGTGCCCCCCCCCCGGGGTTGTGAGCCTCTTCAAACACCATACGGTGCACTGCAGACTCAGGGCTCATGCCTGCAGGCTCCTGCTCCTGCTCTGTCCTCTTGGGAGCCATGTCTGCCCATCCTGAGATTCATTACATTATCGCTGGTTCTCCTTCAACCCTTCTGGACCCTGAAGAGGCTGAGAAGATTGGCCTCCCTCAGACTCAAGCCTTGGAGTCCAGGGGGCTCTGGCCCATGGGGCATCTGAGTAGTGCTTCTGCGGGCCTCCAGCAGTGGCCCCGGCCCAGCTCCACAGCGTGGTGGAAGGGTCACCCAGTAGCGGCTTCATCACAGCACAGGTCAGGGGTTCCACTTGGCTCCAGGGAGACCTAGGAAAGCACAGAGGAGATGGCTGAGTGGTGGAGGGCTCTGTGGGTTGTCCAGAGCCGTTCAGCTCATGGAGGCTGGAGCTGAGGCCTGATCTCAGGGCCATGTGGGCCTGTACCCTGTCTGCTGCCTCCTGTGAATGGGGATAGATGTCATGAAGGACTCTGGGCAGAGGCTGGCACCTCTTTTGAGACTCATAGCAACTCAAGTCCTGCCTGCAGTCAGGCCTCAGGCCTTTCATGGCCCCTGGCCCTGCCCGGTGTCAGGGCTGAGGCCTCTGACCCTGCTGCTCTGCACCACCGTCCTGCCTGGGATCAGGGTGCCAGGTGGTTTCTGGTCCTCTCCAAGGTGCTGAAATAATACCAAGCTGGAACAGGGACCTGGGGACTAGGAGCATCGATCGGCTTCCTCTCTTACTGCTTCTTATCCCTGCCTGCCCAGCAGAAGGCTGATGCTAGCTCCCCATTCTCTGATCTTGGCTCCCAAGGGTGAGGAGAGGAAAGGGCAGATAGTCCCCACGCTGCTCTCTTATCAGAGCTGTGTGACCCAAGATGACATCAGCTGTCGGAGACTCAGTTTCCCCTGCTGTCCAGTGGGAGTAATGCTGCGTCCTTGGCTCGATGCCACAGGAGGAGGGATGACAGAGATCAGGGCTCAGGCTCCCAGACACCCAAGAGGTGTTTGCTGCTTGGGCCAGCAGCCAGGGGGCTCATCCGCCCTCCCCCAAGGCAGCCCTGGGCCCCCTGTATTCCCTGAACAGGGAAATAGCCTCACATGGGTGTTCCCCTGGATTGTTTCATTGTTTCAACCGCTCTAGACTTACATCCTTACTTATAAACTAAATAGGAAGCTGCAGAAAGGGAGATTGAAGCTAGTGAGGAACATGTCTGTGCGTGTGCGTGTCCACCTCGGGCGGGACCCTGTAAACCCGTGTGTGCACATGGGCATGCCCTCACTTGAGGGTGAGCTGAGGGTAGGCTGTGTGTGGAGGAATGAGTGTGCCAGTTGGGGCACGAGTCTGTGCGTCCATCCATGTGTGTGTGTTTCCATAAACATGCCTGTTCCTGGGGTTATTCCCAGCAGCCCCCACCCCACTCCACTCCCCAGCTCATTAAGGCTCTCCCATTATTCTGACATTTGTGCGCGTCACGTACCAGCAAGAAGTAATTTACTTAGAAGAAATTAAAAGTTCATTTTAATTGAGCGCACACTGCAGTATGCAAATGAGCACATTATGCACCCGATGCAGAGACAAAGCTATAATCAGCGGTTAACCCTACACATGCCAACTCTTCAGCTCCCGCGCTGCCTCGCTCTGGGGGTGGGCAGTCCTGGCCTTAAGGAGGTCTTCCTGTCCCCGGGTGGAAGGAAGCCGGCCAGGCTGGGAGGGTCACAGCCTCCCAAGCCTTCTACGAACTTTTTCCAGATGCTGACAACTGCACAAAGGCGGCACCGTAGGGAGACACGAGGCTCTGAGCCCACCTCAGGCTGCAGCCAAGGCCCGGGAGAGCAGGGACTCAGCCTGTCCCTGGGCTCTCCGTGGGACTGGCCTTGCCTTGGCTACCAGCAGCCCCAGCCAGCCGCAGAGAAAGCCTGAGGCCCGAGGCTCCTGTCCCATGACAGAGGGGAGGCTTCGGGGTGGTGAGTGCTGAGGCCCCTCTTCCCAGACCTATGACCTGGGAACCAGCATCCTGCATGCACTCCGACCCGTGAGAGGAAAAGATAGTGGCGGGCTCCCCCAAGAGCCAAGCATGTTGCTGCAGCCCAGGGCCTGGTGGGAGGAAGCGCATGCAGGACCTTAAGGTGGTTTGTGGGGCCAGCCCCACACACAGGCCAGGGCCCGACACCCTGCGTGCGCCCGCACTGGGTGCACCCACCCACCGACCCCCGTCTGCAGTGGTGGCCCCAGAAGTTCAGAAGGGACAAGAGGCTCTCCCAAGTGATGGAGAAATCTCAAGAAACAAAGCTGGCATCTGTTGTGGTGACCTGTATCAGTGGCCCCAAAGCCATGTGGCCTGGTGGGGGCACCAGGCCTCCTCTAGTGCCCAGGGAGAGATATGCCAGGTTCTTCCCCCAGGGCCCTGATCACCCCCAGCAGGTGCACCTCCCCGCCCCCCGCCAGAAGATCAGGAAGTCGGAAAACCTCAAGGACAGGCAGGTCTCAGCCGTGTGACTGACGCGGACCGCAAGGGCAGTGCGACGTGCAGGTGCGGCCCAGGCCAGGTCATTGCCTGCGCTCGCTTTCCTGCTCCTCCATCCTCTCCCTCTGCCTTTCCCTGTGTCTCTCTTTTGGTCCTACTGTGCTGATGGCAGGCCAACACCGATTTAGCTTACCCAGCACGCCCCAGAATAACGGGGGGCCGGACAGTCTCCCCAGCTTGTCTCCCACAGGGGTTTGGCCCTGGGATGGAAGCCAGGCTCCCCCTGGAGCTTCAGTTGGTCCCTGGGTGGTTGTTTTTACATTGGATTTTCTCTACCTGTCAGACCTTGGATTTTTAATGACAGTGAAAATGAAGCTGGTTTGCAGATGTGAGCTGACAGCCAGCTGCAGGAAGCAGACAGATTACCTCCAGACCCAGCCCACATCGCCCATGGAGCCAAACAAAGGAGCCATCCTGGCTCACTCGGATGAGCGGGGATGGCAGGGGGCCGAGCAAGCTGCTCCTACTCCACCGCTGGGCAGCACCCACTCAACCAGCCACGGCTCCTTGGGGGCCTGTGTCCACATGCTCAGGGGTCTGTGCCCCACTGGCTTCTCTCTCCCAGTGACAGCCCCTCGTCTCTGCCCACGGCTCAGCTTTTGAGTCCGTTGCTGTTTCATCTCACAGGTTCCCTGAAGGCAGAGGTACAGCCATGGGAGGCTATTGCCCTGATGTGATTTGAGGGAACCGGGTTCTCAGACCCAGCATTAGGCAGTGGGACCATGGAAGTTTGGACACTGGGCCTGGATGGGCCCAGAAACCTGCATCCTCGGGTGTTTTGGGAACTCCATGAGGGTGGCTGGGACCACCTTACAAAGCCCTGTGGACGCCCTCCCTCAACACCACCTACTGACCCTGGGGCCTCCTCACCTTCTTTTGCTGAAGGCAGGGGATGGCAGGGTGATACTAGCCTGGACAAGACTGGGTGCAGGGGTGGGCTTTTCTCCCTCCCCTTCCACCAGATGCAGTGGCGATTTCGGCCCTTCCGCGTTCCCTTCAGTGACTTTTCCCAGTCCCAGTGGGAGAGCGGCTACTCTGTCTCCGCATCCGCCAGACTCCTGGCTGTGCCCTGCGAGCTCCCCCAGAGCACCAGCGCTCCACTGGAGCCCCTGCGGGTGACACCCCGAGGGACCAGGGAGCCCGAGAGAGCCACTCTGCGCTGGCTGTATGCTTTGGGCAGGTTATCCCGCTGTGCCTCAGTTTCTCCTACACCTCAGGCACACATCTTGGCAGCATGACCAAGTGTATAGGGAGGGGCTCTATAGTGGCTGTACTTCCTATCTCCATGCCCCACCCCCAGCAGAGGAGTCTACTCGGAGGGCCCAGCCAGGTTGGGGGGATCCAAGACTTGTCTGGCTCTTGACTTATTCCTACTGGCTCTGGGAGCCTTGTTGCCTTCTGCAGTGTGGCCGATGGTCCAGGACCACCTCTCATATGCAAGCCCTACTTCTCTTACTACAACCAAGGGCTCTGGTTCTGCCGCTGCTCCTTCCTACCCTCAGCTCCCAAGGGCTGGGTCAGCCCCCACGTTTCCTTCACCCTCTCTTCCTGCTCCTGCCCCATTCCTGCATCCTCAGGCCTCGTGAGCTGGGAGGTGGCCCACTGGCTTTTCTGTAGCTCTTCATTGTCAGCTCCATTGGTTGAGCATGTGCATCAATGCCCACTGGCACTGGCTTCACTGAGCACGTGCTGTGTGCCAGACACGTACATAACCCGTGATAAGCATCCCATCTGGGCAGTGGGACTGCCAGTGGCAGAGCCCAGGCCTTCCAGAATCCAGGTCTCTGATCTCAAGCCTGCGTTCTTGGTCACAGTGTGCTTGCTGAGCCAGGAGAGAGGGGGCAGCATGCTGGGCAGATGTCGCATCTGGTGTGGGAGGCCAGCCTGCCAGGTTGCAGACCCAAGGGTGCACTGTTTGCTAGCTGCCAGCAGCTTTGGCAGGCTCAAGAAAGCTTAGAGGGAGCACGATGTCCATGGGTCTGTGGCCCAGACCTCTGATGCTGTCAGACACGCAGTGACCTGCGTATAGAGTGTAGACTAGCCCTGAGAGGGGCATTTGGAGCTCATCTAACTCAGGTAGCAAAGAGCAACTCCTGGAATCCCTGGGGGCTGCGGGAGAGACGCTGTGATTGATTAGTGATGTCTGTCCTGGGTCAGGATGGGCCAGGCCTCTGGTGATGCAGAGAAGCTGTCTTCAGGAGGGCAGGAAGCCGGCCTGGACTCTGCCCTGTGGACTGGACTCTGGTAGCCATCTGTTTGGTCATTCTCTTCCAGAGCCCCCATGTGTTGTGATTCATGCCCACAGCCCCCATGGGTCCTCAGGATGCCATACCAGCTGCCCTCCGGCCCCAGCTGGCCACTTCCTGACGTGGGGCACATCGTCTCAATTCTAAAGAGGGTGAAATACTGCATGACCTCCTGTGGTTTAGGTGTGTCTATGCACTTTAGAAAACGCTTTTTGTTGTCCCACATATAGTATGTGCTCCTGGTTGCTGTCAGACACTGGGACAATGGACAGCTCTTATCCAGGTCACCATGTGTGTGGCGGGGCATGGGTGGGCTCTCTGCAGCTCGCCTCGTCTGATCCTCACCAGACTCTGGGGGGGGATGAAGTACGGGGTCTGTCTTCATGTCTGCCTTGGAGAAGATCGGGCCTTCAGCTGGAAACATCGCCCCCATTAAACATTGTCTCTAGGGAAACAGAGATTCCTGTGTCACTGTGATGCATCGTATCTTTTCTAAGTGGTCACTGCTGCCCCAGTGAGTGGGAATCTCAACTATAGCATGTGGTGGCATTGCCT